AAAAGCTAGCTGGTCAATTTACAGGAATATGGAGATAAAGAAATTGGGCATTATGAATTGTCATTTTCTGGAGTAGAGGATGTCATTAATCATTGTTTCAGAAAAGATTTCCTTATATAAAGCCTGTATTTAGCTAGGTGATCATTTTTCTGAGTGGGGGAAGCAGCCCAGCCCAGAATTGCTTATAAAGACAGTCATCACTAAAGAGCACACTCACAATTTCTGGGCCAGTGCAAAAACATGACCCACATATAACTGAAGACAGGCAATTGACTGGACATCACTTTAACATTTGCAACCACAATCACCAAATCACCACTCCTGTAGTAATATATTTTGATTTGCAGTAACTAAGAGACATATTTTATTTTATATTCAATAAACCTGTTGTTACAGTTAACAACAATGTTATGCATTTCATTGAAGGAGTTCTTTTTTCCAGCCTGACTTGAGAAGTTGAATTCAGACATAAGAGAAAAAATGTTTACTACAGCTACAGACAGGAATTGTACAAATTTGTCTGTGGTACACAACGTATATAAAGTATGTGCACTAGACTTTACCATCAATCATAAAATTTTGGGAAACTAGAAATAAACCTATCAAAATGATACACCAGTGAGCGAGCAACCGATGAAAGAAAATAAATGAAGGTCAATATTATTCAACAAATCTAGCGACTGAAAAGAGAAGAGAGTTTGGAGCCAGGAGGAGGAGTGTAGTGTGTGAGTTGAGAAATGATAGGTATGTTGACAGACGTGTCAACAATAAAGAGTTTTTTTTTTTTTCTGCGGGTTAAAGGAACAGCAGGCCTGGATTAACCATTAGGCAAACTAAGCACATGCTTGGGGCACTACAAAAATTTGAGTAGGGTATTATGGGTGAAGGGGGCACGGGGTACCAATTTCTTTTGGAAAAATTGCACAGTAACTGTTGCACAAAACATTTTTTAGAACTAGTTTCTAAGTTACGGTATACTTTGTGAATGAAACATTACACAACATAAAATTTCATATCACTTCTATCTATGGGTTTTAAATTTTTTGGATGGCTGTCACTGCATAAATATTAAGTTTTGGGTGATTCTAGAATTAGAATTTTTTATGTTTTACCTATTCTGGTTACACCCTTCTTTTTTTTTTTTTTTAATTTTTTAAAAAGATATTCAAAATATGATGAAACCATTTTCTATAGTAAAAAATTCTCATTGAAATAAATTTTGATGTTTAAAATTTTTTTATCAAATAACATTCTTAACATTTTTTTGAATTAGTTTTCAAAGAATAAAATATTTGAGTTTACTTTCATTAAATTGAAAAAAAAAAAAAAAAAAAAAAAATCAAACACATTTATATAGGTACCTCCACAAGATCGCGAAAAAAAAGAGCATAGCATGATGAAAAAGATGCCAAACTTGACGTAAACAAAATTTTATCGTCTAAATGTTTATGTTATTATTAAGAGGAAAGATCAAAGTATTTCTGGGGTATTTTTTTTAATCGTTCCTAGCATGTCTGAAATTTTTGTTAAAATCTTGTTTTTTTTTGAGTCAGCAAAATTGACAGATAATCGATCATGGCAACCATTTTTTTCCATTTTATGAAAAAAAATGAAAATCTCAGTATGAAATTTTTAAAAATCAATTATTTTTTCAAAACTTATTTTAAACCTTTCGCGTCACTTGACAGGTGATGAATGACATCGACAGATTATGTGAGGATAATTTGTTCTACAGAAGGAGAAAAGTGAAATTACTTAGATTTAAGTGAAGAAATTATTTACCTCGTTATTTTTAAGGAAAACTTTTAGCACTCTAAATTTTTTTGTTTTTTGTACTTAGCTTTCACCTTTACGTTTACAATGCTTTATGGAAAATATATTATAAAGAAATTAAAATAAGACTAAATTAAATTTCATAAGAAAGGTATCTAATTAATTTATAGGTATCTTTCTTATGAAATTTTATCAGAAGTGTACATAAAATACTATAATTTTATGTACATTTACTAGATTTTACTGTGTTATTTGTATTTTCATTCATTTTATTATTAATTTTGATAAATGTCATAACTGAGATTAATATAAAAATAAGATCATATAAATTTCATAAGATGATACTTGTAGGTACCCTTCTCTGTTGAAATTGAAAAATCAAATTAACTTCTCCACATGTGTTTTGCAAAAGTAAAGGCCTTAACAGCGGAGAACAATGCTTAACTATTTTGCTTAACACTAATTGTATTCTGGCTGGTCTTCCGTACTTTATAGTTACAGCCTGATTATAAACACAAAATTACATTTCTTAATTACTGTGGGTCTTCTGATTAGTCAAAACGATACAATTTACAATACGCTAAAAAAGATCTCATAAGGACACTTACGAAAGTGGATGTGGCTTTTAACTAATTTTATAATATTTTAACAACTTAAATGTAAAAATCTATTATAATTAAAGAAACAACAATAATTGTATTAAAAATCCATTTTTCATTGAAAAAATTTTTTGCTTTCAGAAAATATTGTCTATATTCATAAAAACAACTAAAAGCAAATAAAAGTATTGAAATTAAATAATATCTTTGTTTTATTGAGTTTTGTATTTTACAATTCAGAGCTGTTTTTCAGGTGGGGGGGGGTCCAATTAAAAACAAAAAAAAAAAAAACAATTTGCATTCCTCAAAGCTTTGTGCTTTTAACTATTGTAATTACTAAAGTGGACTCGATCAATTTCTAGAGTTTTCATAAAATTAGTTTGGTGGGAGGTAATAAATATGAAAAAAAATATTTCTGCCATGACTTTAATAAAAAAACATATTTATAATAATTTCGATCATCTGTGAATAGTTTCTGAAAGTTTCATTAACATCCAACAATTATTTCTATTTTTGCAAGATTTTCCAAATTAATGTGTGTCATACAAAAAAAAATGTGCTAAAAATTGTATGTTATTTTACTAGTTCCAGTGATACAAAGAGAAATATAATGATACAAAATCAAAATTCAGAATGTTCTAAAAAGAAGGAAAAATTTTTAAAAATAATTAAAATAAACTTTGCTCTTAATAATAAACATTTAGAAGATAACATTTTGTTTTCACCAAGTTTGGCGTCTTTTTCATTATGCTCTTTTTTAGTGATCTCATAGAGGACCTACATTCATATAAATATAAATTTATGAATATAAAACTACAAAAATTAAGCCTTCCTCTTTTCTGTTCACAAATTTTTCAGACCCCAAGATGAAATGTCTTCAATTAAATGGTACACAAAAAAGAAAACTAGCCAAAAAGAAAGAACAAAATGTTTCATGAGTAACAGCCAAGAGTGGAAAATTAACTAATTATTTTCTTCCAGTGCAACTTCTAGATACAGATCAAAACCGAGCCCTGTCTGAGAAAGAAGACATTTCCACAGTTCGTTCTCTTAGTATTAGCCCTTCATTTACTTCAAGTTCAGAATATCATAACTTCCACAAGCTGGTGCATATAGCATACTTGCTACTGATCTACCTGTTAACCCTCTTAATAAGTCTACTGCAAGCTGTTCTGCAAGTCCTGACGTTGAAATGGTACCTGAAAATGTGTGATGACACAATTTAGTCTGCAGAAGATGAAGAAGTAAATAAAGCAAAAGATCCAGGGCTATGAACTGATTTCTCAGCTGATAATGTAGTTTATTGGGTTGATTGTGGGCCCACTGACTGTTATCATCATGATGGTTCCTTTGGCAAATCTTGCCAGACTTTTGCTAGTGGAAAACCAACAAGATACTGTTTGCAAAACCTCTTCCATGGAACAAAAGCAAATGGTGAGCAGTACAAAAGAGAATGGTTATTGTATTCACCATCCACTTTTTGTGCCTAAAGGTTTCACACATTTGGCTGACAAAGATGGGTTCAGTGATTGGAGAAATAACATTGATAATCATGAAAACAGTAATATTCATAAAGACTATGTTAACATATTTAGCTCAAAGCTTGTTTCTACAACAAAAGCTAGAACAAATTAATGAATAGTAAAATTACTGGGAAAATGTTTTGAGGTGTGCAATAGCTGTTATTTGTATGCTAGCTGAACATGGTCTGGCTTTTAGAGGAAAAATTTGAATTTCTACAAAATGGAAATTATTTAGGGTTGCTGTAGTTGATCAGTCAGTTTGATCCATTTTTAGCAGCACATATTGCAAAATATGAAAATTCTGGAAAATGAAACCCTTCTTACTTATCCAAAACTATCTGTGAAGAACTTATTGAAATTATGGCTCAAAAGGTCCACATGCTCATTATGGATGAAGTAAAGTCTTCTGGTTATTTCAGCTTATCAACAGACTCAACACCTGATTTATCACATATAGATCAGTTAAGTGTTGTACTTCGATACTTAATAGATAAGGAGCCTATTGAGTGGTTTTTGACCTTCTTAGAGCTACAAAGACACACTGGTGAATAAGATGTTACAGTACTTATGTGAAATTTGCAACCTTAATTTTTCAAAATGCAGGGGTCAGTCCTATGGTAAAGCAGCTAACATGCCTGGGCATTACAAGGGCATGCAGCCAAAAAATTTAAGAGGAAAATAATGTTTGCCTGTGCTGCCCATTCACTAAATCTGGTAAGCAGAAGTGCTGTTGACCAGAAGCAATTAACTTCTTCTTTATAATGCAACTGATATATACATTTTTCTCAGCCTCAACCAACAGATGGAAAATTCTCAAAGGGTGCCTTGAGGATGAAAAGATGAAAATCCCTTTCTGATACCAGATGCGAATCACATGCCATTGTAACTGAAGCCATTCTAAAGTCTTTCCCTCAGATTTTAGTTGCTTTAGAATGTTTACAAGAAGACCATTCACAGAAGGGGGACACCAGAAGAGAAGCAGAAAACATTGCAAATAAGATGCAAGAATTAGAATTTGCTTTCATGCTTATCTTTTGGGAAGAAATCTTGCAACATTTTCATAGAGTCGGCCAAGATCTACAAAATACTACCAGATGTGGATTACAAGGCAACTGATACCTGCAAAACATAAAAGAAAGAAAATGATCAATGATGGGGGATGCACCAGAAGTATCCCTGAATGCCAGAGACAAGTTTCATAGATACACTTTCTACGTCATTATTGACAAACTTGAAGCAAAGATGAGATGGAGAGGACAGATAGCAGCCCGATTCTCTTGCTTGGTTGATATACCAGAAACATCAAGTTCCTCATCCAATGAAGAGAGAATACAGTATTCTGAGTGTTGTGAAAAACTAACCAATGCATATCCAAAGGACTTGAACAGTAATTTGTCTACCAAGCTTCAGCAGTTTCACTCATATTCGCCATAAGTTTAGTGCAACAAAAACTGTGAAAACCAGATTCAGCCATGCAGAAGTCTACAAAGTAATGGTAGAAGACAACATCGAGTTTGATTTTCAAGATGTAGAGATTATTAGCTTGTGCAGATTTTTAACATTAATGGTTACAAACTGTGCAACTGAATGCTCATTTTCTCATTTGAAATATAAAAAATCCGAATATAAAACAACAATAAGAAAGGCTGTATTCCTTATCTCTGCTCATAATTGAAGCAGATTTGTTGCGCCAAATTAACTTTGAAGATGTAATCAAAGACTTTTTTACTAGAAAGCAATCTAGAAGAAAGCACTTTAAGGTGTAAATTTGTAAGTTTTTTTGTAAATGTTGACAATACGATACGTTCTCACACATTTTCGTGTATATTCTAGTTTTTTTTATTTATTTTGCTTTTTGAATAGCAAGGTCAAGATGTGCATTTTACTTGTTTTTTTTAGTTCTAAAAGTAAATAGTTTCATTTTTAACTGTTTCATTTTTCATTTTTGTCTGCTGTGAAATATAAAGTACAGTAGCTGTGTTAATTATTATTAAGTAATTATTTTAATAAAAGAAAAGTGAAGGATAAACAAGTCTTAATCCGGCCCTGATGAACAGGGTTATTAGATTGCAATTGTTTTACCTTTGGACATGTTGACAAGATATACTGGAGAAAATATAGTTTTTGAAAAATTTTGTCATATTTTTGTGAAACGTAATGTAATGTTTAAAATCTAATTAATTCTTAAATTTACCATTTTTCTTCAAAACAAATGTCTGGGACAGATACGGGATGTTTAAGCAATTTTCAAAGCATAGAGTAGAATGGAAACACACTACTAGAGAAGTGAATTTTTTTTCTCGACCCAAAATTAAATCAAAAGAAAAAGAAGAAAATAAATCACGTAACTACAAATTACTTAGTTGCGACTTCCGTGTTAGTTTTCTAACGGATGCAAAAAGTCCTGATCTGCAGTTTATAAAAAAAAAATCAAATGTCAAAAATGCTTTTCCTACCAAAATTTAAAGTAGAATTCTCTAAAGACTCTAAGACAAAACGAAAAACAAAATCTGACGATGGAGAAAAACTAAAAAGTTTTTGTTTCTGTGAAGGAAAAAAAAAATGAAAATGAAAAACCCGTTTCTTCAGTTAAAAAGTAAAAATTCGCGAACTCTCTTTAAAAAATATTTCAACTTTCTTCAGGACTAACAAAATTCAAAACCTAAGATTATTGTAAAAAAAACTGAAGGAAAATTATGTTTATTTATTTAGTTTTAATAGTTTTTTATTTTGTACCTATCACTCTTCTTCACTTCTCCAGATTTTACAAAAATATTTCAAGCTTATATTCTTAGTCTTACTTTTTTTAACAAATACTAACAGGTTATTAACACTTTTTTTTAGTTTTACACTTATAAAAATAGCCAATGCTAAAAAATGCAAATGAATTCACTCAGAAATCTACTTTAAAAATAAAATAAATTCCCTTGATCGCCCCCAAAATGTGTAAATTGGCAATTCTTTCTCAAATACACTTTTGCAATAAAACATGCATGTTAAAATAAAACTGAAAAGTTTTTTGTTTTTTTTTTTACTGTTATCTTTTCTTTTTACTTACCTTGAATCTCTTATGTCTCGTAAACTCCGGTCCAGGGCAATCATGTCACTTGCAACTAAATTGAAAGCTTCTTTTCTAGCTACGAGTTTAGCTTTTTCGGCATGTTCCCCTGTCAGCACTAGACGTTCCCCTTGTTCCCCAGGGCCACGTCGATATGGTTCAGCTTTCTGGTAATTCTCATATCTTTTCTTTCGATACCGTAACTTCTCTTCCTCGGCGACGTTTTCGAGAAAAGTTGATGGGAAATGGTAATACATGTACATGAATAGAGCAAATATTGCTAAAGTCATCCATAGTTTGATGTTAAACCGTCTTTTAACAGAAATCCAACGCACCATAATGTTCTCTTACTTTTTAGTTCTACTATTGTAATTTGTGTTGTGTTTTCTTTATTTCCGTTTTTTTCTCTTTGGAATTCTTTAGTAACAGTACCTTAGTAAAACACGTGTTGCCATGTTAACACAGAGTTCTTAAGGGCCGACTAATAATGATGAAACGAAAAGTTTACATGTTGCGCTCACGCGTATTGTTGCATTAAATCATTTAAATGATCTCTCTTAAACAGAACACAGCCTATGAAATGAAAGTAAACAGAGAGAAAAATGTAAAAAAAAATCGATTTCATATCTTAGTACAATTGATAATTTTTTAGTTCCGACGTCTTAGCTCAGTGCTTGTTAATTGGTTAAAAAATAATAATAAAACTAACTAAAAAGTATTTATTTTATGATTTTCTCAATGCTTGGAAATAAATGACTAAAAAAAAAAAAAACAGTAAAAGTAAAACTAAAAACACCAAATGAATTAAGGCTTTCTTTAAAACTTTCTCTAAAGATTAGAATGGAAAAGGAAACATTTTTTTATTTTTCGCATTCGTCGGTTAAAGTTTTTTTTTAGCAATAATCAATAAATTTGTTTTCGGTAATAAATCATTAGATTATTTTGGCAATTTGTACAAAAAACGGAACTTTATCACACTACTAAACAAGTAAAAATGATAAAGTTGTAATGCTTAGAAATTATTAATTGTAAAGTTTTCTAAAGTATTTGTTTTTAAATACTTGAAAAGAAAATTAACCTAGGAAAAATGGCTATTCACTCTAAAAAAAGGCCACATTACTTTGTATTTATTTACGTTACAGAAAAGAAATTAAACAATAAGAAATTAAGTTAAAAAATGATATCTACAAATTTCCATATGTTGAGAAAATTTACAACAGGATGAAATATTTTTATTACATTTTTAAACAATAAGGAAATTTGCTATTTTGAAAATAACGTGACATTTTTCGGTGTTTCCTGTTGTAAAAATTTTTTAAAAAAAACTTGTCATCAATGAATTTTCTTCATCCGCATCGTAACTCCTCCGGTTAAATGAGTTTTTTTTTTTATTTTAAGCATAAAGCTAATAAGTAATTAATATTACTTTTATTACTCCTCCAAACAAATTGTTAGTTTGTCTTATTTACTTTTTTGTTGTTTAGAAATTCTGTAAAAGTAAAATTATTTGTGAAGGTGTTTGATTTCAACAGTTGGCTGAAAAACAGATTTTTGCCATTGATTGAACTGATCCCCCCCCCCCAAAAAAATGAAGAGAATAACTTTTCTCAAACTTAATTCGTGAAATTTTATTTCTCTTTATTTTTTTTTTTTTAAACAAAGTAGGACTGCAACTTACATTGGTTACTCACTGGCTTGACTGTCAGTGTCATCAAAATGCGGCAAGTGATTACTATGGAAGCCCATAAGGCTTCTTTAAATAAATACGCCGATTATTATTTCCTGTATAGTGTTGTAGATTCTGTAGAGTATCGCTACCGCCAGTAAAACTTATTGATCAATAAATGGTAATATTTTAAAAATAAAACTTTACATTTTTATGGATATATTTGTTTAGAAATTAGATGTTTCAAGATTGTAAAAGTGTGGAAAAAAGCAAATTTTAAGAGCACTAATATAATTTCTTTTCTTTTTTTTTTTACTCACTCAAGTGCTCAACAAAACCATTCAATGTCGAGCGTTATTGAATAAGACGGGTGATATGAATGGAGAAAGCAAAAATCGAAGGATAGATAACAATTTGAATTCACCTTCCATTTAAAGAGGTTTGAATTTATTTAAAGATTGTTGTGTTTGGGGAAGTATTCTGTTCCACGAATCAGATATATGGATTGTGAAATCAGTAAGCCTATTCTGAGTATGTCTGTTGCATTCATTTTTGCACAAATGCTGCTGGAAAATACATGAATTTTTCTTCTTCCCATCCCCGGCCATCATTGTGTTAAATAGAAGAGTAGGTTCTAGTAGTTCTCTAGACTTAGTTGACAATCTAAAAGCAAACCTCTGGATTTCAAATACATAGTGAGAAGACAACAGAAAACCACTCCAATATTTTCTTCAAAAATGCATGACAATTCATAGATAATAACAAAATAGAATCTCTGGAGAGTCATGATTGTCAACAACACAGGAAAATAATTCTTTTTAACCAACATAACACATAAAAATAGTTATTTATTGTATTTAGATATGAAGTATTAATGAAAAAAAAATCCAATACCTAAAACTAAAGTTGACATCCCTGAGGTAGACAGAGCTGGATATACAACAAAGGAATTTAGGAAATTTTAGGAAAATTCGCTAATGGAAAATTCAATAATTTTGACAAAGTAGGAAAATTCAATAACTATGAAATAAAAGTTGAATGAAAATTGATTTTAGGGCCATTCTGGAGTGGGGATTTGGGGGCTAAACCACCACTCCCTATATTTTTAAATAACTGAAAATTGTGAGGTCCAGATAAAACCCCACTACAACAATACCAGGGTTGTACTTGCAGAAGGAGGGCTTAAGGTGCTAGGCCTCCTTCCCTAATATTTTTTTAAAAGTATTATTAACTATGGGGGTCTAGTTAAAACCCCCACAATAATATCAGTGCCATACTTTCTAGAGGAAGCTACCCCCATATGTTTAAATATGTATTAACTAAAAAAGTCATGGGTTCCAGTCCAGATAAAACCCAACTGCAACAATACCAGGTCCATACTTTCTGGATGGGGATTTAGAGGACTAACCACTCCAGACTTTTTAAATAAATATTTTGAAATAAGTATTTATTTAATTACTGTACTCTATTATTTTCAAACAAATAAAATCGATTTATCTAAGTTAATTTTTGTATCTTCTTTTCAAATTATTATTTTAATAAAAAAAGTAAATATAGATATTTCTTTTTATAAAAAAAACAACACATTTCTATTTAAAAAATATAGGGGATGGGCTTAGCTGCCAAATCCCCACCCCAGAATGTCCCTAAGATCAATTTTCAGTCGACTTTAATCTCATAGTTACTGAATTTTCCATTACTGAATCTTTCATCACCAAATTTTCCAGATACCCAACAAAGTGCTTTGTCCATTTACTGCTAGTATGAAAAATTGTTCTTTTTTTTGGGTGCATCCTAGAACTGCTCACAAAGCTAACTATGGGAAAAATATTTAAAAGCTCTTGAGAGATTGTTCTTGTGTCTCACTCATAGCCTCACTGGGAAATTCACTTGATATTCAAAGGACTACTCTGTTGGAATTATTTAGATTCTAGTAATTAACACATCCTCTTTTTTGCCTACTCCAGTTAAAATAATTGCTTGATATATGGAAGAAGCTACTTGATTGCTTGGCAATTTCCTCTGCACAACTTTGGACAGTTGAGATTTCAAAAAATCAGAATACTATGCAACTTGAGAAAGCTGAGGAACTCAACTGAGTTCTGAACAAATTCTAAAGTGCATGGAAATGTTCAAGGAAACTTTGGAATAGCTCAGTTTATTTCTTTATTTCCTCAAGAATGCCTCACTCATAGTCACAAGCTGTTTCTGTAATTTGGGACCATTTTGCTATTAAAAACAGCTGAAAAAAAATCAAGATTAATGCTGAATATTTTAGAATATTTTGTTTGAAAATGTTTTTCAAGGCTGCATAACATTTTACAAACAAAAACAATCAATAATATTTTTTTAGTCCTTTAATTTTTCATATAGAATATATTTTTTTATTTGTTAGTAGTGTAAAATAATTAAAAATGAAAATTAATTTAAAAGTGTGAATAAATAAATGCTAAATAGCCCAAATTTATGTTATACACTCACTTTTGGAAGAAGTGTATTAAAGGAAAATTTTCATTTTGTGTGTAAAAGTTTACTTTGTAATTGGCTCTAAAAAGGACTACCAGAAATAACTGTCATGGTAGACTGTTGGAGATTCATTTTTCAAATTCAGAAAAGATATATTACCCTCATATTTATTGTTCAATGAAAGGGGTGGCTTTTGCCATCATAAATTTAAAGTGAGATCCATTCAGCCACTCCCAAGGGTATATAAGAACACATGTCAGTATGTAATAGGAAAAGGTGTTTAGAATCACAAAATGTGGAAAGAAAGCAGTGAGAGACCGCAGAAGGTGATTAGAGATGGCAGAAAGTGATCAGAATGGATTTGATGTCATATGCAACAGAAGTCAGCTTGACTTGGTCATCAGATGTAAAACAGGCAAAGCTTACTGTGGAAAGGACAAAGAGTTCTGTGTGAGAAAGTCTACAGCAGAGAAAAGAGTATAAAAGTATCAGCTTTCTTGAAAACTATGCAGCCATAAAAGAAGGACAAAGAGTACCTTTAGGTCAATCACAAAACAACTTCAAGGCCAACTTCAAAAACAAAGAAATTACAAAAGATCATTATACCTCCCTGGAATTCCTTTTGAAAAAGCATGTTGGCCTTGTTTGTTTATCTATTAGGTGGGTGCACCCTTTTTTTCTAAGAATAATTTCTTTTTTCCAACTGTTTTTGTTTCCCCTTCTCAAAGTTTTTTTTCCTTTGAAAAGAATTTATATTATGAATCTTTTTTAAGGCAAATTGTTTCTATAATTTTGTTATCTTGCCTTGTCCTTAATAAGGTGCATGAAAGGAAATTTTTGCACAAGCCTTTTTATTTTTGTAAAGTTTGTACTCTGTTATATTGTTTTGTATCACTTTAATAAATGTTTGTAAGTTTAAAATTTAACAAGATGATTTTGTTATTGTTTGTGCCTTTTTCGATATTCAGGATAAGTGAGGTGACATGCTCTCTTTACCCATTCCCTCCAAAAAAATCAAATCTTTTTTTATTTTGCACCAAAATTTAGTCATTGTAAGTTAAATTTTCATATTTTGTACAAAAAGCTTTGTTACTGTAAATTAATCTTTTACAAGAAAAACCACTACCATCT